TAATTTTTTTTACGGGCCGCGGGTTAACCGCGGCCCGTGGGGGTGCAACCCGCGAAGCCCGCGGGTTACACCTCCTTGGCCCGTGAACCGCCCGCACGGGTCACGGGTCGGCCCGCGGTCCCGATTTTCACGGGCCGGTTTTTACGGGTCATGGCCGGCCCGTCCGTCTTGACACCTCTATAAATCGAACAATAATGTCATTAATTAATTTGTATTCTTATTTGACACTAACTAAAGCTTAGCTTATCCAAATTAACTATAGAGCATATCAAATTGACTTGCATAAGGACTTGGCGTGACATTTCTATCAAATGACAAATAATTTATATGCAACATAACTTGTAAAATTTTCGAGATTTTACAACCTACCCTCATTAAAATAATTCCGTTCTCGAAATTTACCTTATGTTAGTGAAGAGTCCTCGATACTTAGCTTTCATCTCATCTTCTTTTTCCTAAGTTGACTCTTTTACTCCATGGTTGCACCATAGCACCTTGATTAAAGGAATTTTTCTATTCCTTAACTATACACATCTTTCTGTCTAATATCACAATTGGCATCACTCCATAGATTTAATCATATGTACATCTAAAGTTTGATGGTTGATCACATGATTGGAATCCTTAAGTACTTTTGAAACATTGATACGTGGAAAACATTATGTACTGCTGAAAGTTCTAGTGGTAGGCTAGTATGTATGACACATCTCCGACTCTATCTAATATATCAAATGGTCCAATAAATCTTGGTCTCAACTTTTCTTTCTTACCAAAACTAAGCACTCCCTTCATTGGAGCTACTTTCAGAAATACTTTATTGCTAATTCAGAACTCAAGATCTTTTCTCCTCCATTCAGCATAGCTTTTTTGCCTGTCTTGAGCAGTCTTAATTCTGTCTGGAATCTTATTCACATCATATACTGTTCAATCAATGATCTCGATTCCTAGAATCCTTCTTTCTCCAACCTCATCCCAGTAGATAGGTGTTTGTACTTCCTATCGTATAGTGCCTCATAAGGTGCTATGCCTATGTTGCCTGAAAACTATTGTTATAGGTAAATTCTACTATGTGTATTTTCTAGTTGTCGTCAATGTCTAGTACACACGTTCTTAATATATATTCAAGTATCTGAAACGTCCTTTTGGATTGTATATCGGTCTGTGAGTGATATGTGGTGCCAAATTTCAATTTCGTTCCCATATACTCTTATAAGATTTACTAAAATTTTGACGTGAATTTCGAGAACTTGTTTGAAACAATAGAAACATGATGTAACTTGACTATATGTCCGATATAAACCTATGCATATTGTTCCATGGAGAATATCATCTTAACCAGAAGAAAGTGATCCGACTTTATAAGACGATCCATTACTAACCAGAGCATTGTTTCCTTTTGTAGATCTTGAAAATCCCATAACGAAATCCATGTTTATGTGCTACATAATGGGTGGAGACTGGAGCTGCTCTTTTGAGAATTTCTTTCATTAATTTCTCATCTTTAGGAACACACATCTGCCTTTATATATAACTACCATCAGTTATCACAAATCCTCTTTGTTTATCCTTCCCAACTTCAACCATGATTTTACACAAAAATAGGTCATTCTTTTGAGCTTCTCTAATCCATTCTCTAAGAATGGTTTGAAACATTAGAGCTGCAACAATAGTTGACTTATGTATCGAAGGTGCAACAACTTTAGCCTCAAATTTTCAAATTCCTTAACAAACTATTCTTGAGTGGTTGAAACTGTCAACTTTCCAGTTGTTTTTCTACTAAGAGCATCAACAACTACATTGACTTTAACTAGATGGTAAGGAATGGTGCAATCATAGTTTTTGACCAATTCCAGTCATCTCCACTATTTCATATTTAAATCATTTTGAATGAAGAAGCATTTGAGACTTTTATGAATGGTGAAATCTCACATTTACCACCTAGAGACAGTGATGCCATATTTTTAAAGCGTGAACTACAATTGCAAGTTCTAAGTCATGCGTTGGATAATTATGTTAATATGGTTTTAACTACCTTAAGGTGTAGGCAATAACTTTTCCAAGTTGTATTAACATACATCTCAAACCTTTTTTAGATGCATCATTGTATATAACAAATCCTTCTAAACCTTCTGATATTGTCAATATTAGCGCTGAAACCAATCTGTGTTTCAATTCTTGATAGCTACTTTCACAATTCTGTAGACAGCTATCTTTGAAAATTCTTTGATAAATCTCCGGCCAGACCTAAGAAACTACGAACTTTTCCTACATTGGTTGGCCTAGTCCAATTTGTTGCAGCTTCTACTTTATGTGGGGTCTACCTCAATACTTGTGCAACAACCACATGACCAAGGAAGTCAATGCGTTCTAGTCAAATTTATGTGGGTCTACCTCAATACTAGTATGTAATCAACGAAGATTATAATAAATTGATTTAAATACAGATGGAAAACTCGTTTCGTTAAGTCCATATATACAATTGGTAACATTGGTTAACTTAATGGCATCACCCGTGAACTCATAGTTCTCGTACCGCATTCTAAAGGCTATTTTAGGGATATCATAATCCTTTATGATAGAGTTGGTGATTCCTGGTCTCAAATCGTTCATTGAGGACACCTTTGCACCCTTCAATTGATAAAAATGATCCTCAATCCTTGGGAGTGGATATTTATTCTTTAT